TAAGGATCAAATACTCAGAGTAGGTGTGTGTTCTACAACTAACTAAGTAATAATTTGATCTTTCATTTTTCATAGCACTTTAGAGGCAAATAGAACCTAAGTTTTCAAATAGAAAAATTGTTTATTTTGTTGCAATAAACTTAAAATATATATTGCATAAATTGACATAGATGGAATATTATTTTTCTCTCTCTTGTCCCCCACATTGACATGGCTATAGCCTATATATACCTGATGCGATTCATGATCCTGAAAAGATTAATTCCGAAATAGCTGGCAGCAATAATTCATAAAGAAAGAATGGAAATGACAAGTCAAAGGAACATATTTTCCTTTCTATACTTTATTTATTTAGTTCTTATATATATATATATATATATATATATATATATATATATATATATATATAGGGGGAAAGCAGCAATTGATAGGAAACTTCCCGCTTATAATAAGCTGTCTTTGCCATCATGATGGCAACGTCTTTTCTCTCGGTCTCTCTCACACAATTTATTTCACAAATATTAGTATTATTTAAAGTGTCAAATAACTTTTTCATATAATTATGATTTTTGAAATTCTTTTTACTTAGCTTTAAGAAATGAATAATTGTAACCCATCCAACTACTTGTGTAAATATGTAAATTTTACTTTAAAAATTAAAGAATCAAACTTAGACTTCGCACAAAAGTCTACATGATTGAGCTCTTGTTTTTAAAATTAAACCACGTGGTTCTTTTGTGAAAGGAGTAACTAATTACAAAATTAACACGAAGACAACCTTACTATAGTAAAATTTGTAAAAATAGCATGAGCTAGCAAGTTTTCGGATTGGTCATTCAAAAATAGTCAGCGCTTGCGAAGTCATTGAAAAATAGCCACTATTTTGCTGCAACACGGAAAGTTCCAGCATAATATTGGAGATCGGTGCATCTGTGTATGAATTTCTAGCATATTATGCCGGACCGATATATTATACTGCAACTCAGTATAATATGTTGGAAGTCTAGTATATTATACTGCAACTCCAGTATAATATACTGGAATTCCAATATATTATGCTGGAGTATTTACCGGAGTTTGAACAGTGTTTTCGTTCAGATTTATCTTTACATGAAAAGTGGCTAAATTTCGATTACTTTTGAAACTGTGGCTATTTTTGAATGACCACTTGTAAATCTGGCTATTTTTTAATTTCTGCCGTAAAATTTTCGTAATCCAACTACTTCGTCGTAATCTATTACTCCCTCCTACCAGTTATAGTGACGATATTTCATCGAACATAAAGTTTAAGAAAGAAAACAAGAAAGTTAGGCCCTGTTTGTCCAGAATTTTTCTTTTTTAAAAACGTGTTTATCCATGAAATTTTGCAAGCTTTTGAAAAATTTTGAAAATGAGAGAAAAAATTTTTCCCCCACTCATAAAACTGCAACATTTTTCAAGTGAAATGCATGTCCAAACATAATTGTCACGACCCGACTTTCCCACCTTCGGGACCGTGATGACGCCTAACATTGCACTCGCTAGGCCAGCCAACTTTACAGAATATTACACATTTTTCCTTTATCATTTTATAATTAAATTTAACAAAACTAAATCAGCGGAAATAAAGGCAAAAGTACATGATTTAACTAGTTACTTTTATACTATTGATGAAAACATAAGCAAATACCACCCAGAAACTGGGTCACAACTCACGAATAGTCTACGAATACTACAAGTATTGGTTTGAAAGAAAAATATACATCTGTCTCGGAGAAAAGTAAAACAGAATGCAGTAAAGATAGGAGGGGACGCCAGGGCCTGCGGACGCCTGCAGGACTACCTTGGGTCTCCTAAATGCAGTGAAAGCAACCAACCTCTCGATCAGCCACTAGCTCCAAAATCTGCATAGAAAGTGCAGAGTGCAGTATCAGTACAACCGACCCCATGTACTGGTAAGTGCCGAGCCTAACCTTGACGAAGTAGTGACGAGGCTACGGCAGGACATAACAACATATACAACCTGCAACAGTTTATAGAAAGGAAATACGGAATGAAATAAAGCAGTAACTGGCATTAAATAAGTACGGAAATCGGTCGTTCTACCATTACTCAGCTATAACCAATCCTTGGGAGAGTTTCAACACCACAATAATGAACCTCAGGATAAAATAAATACATGAACAACAATTAATGCGGCGCGCATCCCGATCCCATCGTATAATCAATAACAGTATAATCATTCACCCTTATTACTCCTTGTTGCGGCGTGCAACCCGATCCCACCAGTCCACCCTTATTACTCCTCAATATATCACCCTTATTCCTCATGTTGCAGCGTGCAACCCGATCTCACCTTCCACCCTTTTTACTCCTTGTTGCGGCGTGCAACCCGATCCCACCAGACAATCACATTCACCTTTATTCCTCCTGTTGCGGCGTGCGACCCGATCCCAATATACATATCAGCACCAAGCACAACATAGAGACAAGTGTTTCACAAGTTAACTCACATCCTCCACAACACTTATACCTCCAACCGGCACAAAGAAATATCATAGCAATTATGAAAGTTCACTCGTTAAAACTACACAGCAAGACCAACCAATGTGTACCGTGAAGCACCAATAAGCCAACATAAACCAACAGTGTAATATAATGGAACAAAGGAACAATTAACAACACCAATAGAGAAACAACATTAAACAAGAAGCAATTAGACATGGAAGCATCAATAAGCAAATAGCAAATAAAACATGAGAGCAAAATCTAGGGAAATGGGGCAAGGGAACAGGCTAAACAAGTAATTTGGCAACGCATAGGTGCTCGTAACCACACATATACGCCACACGCATGGTATTTCACATAGCAAGCAAGTCGGGGATCCCTAATCCCTCAAGTCAAGGTTAGACCAAAGACTTACCTCAAGCCAACGGGTAATTCACAGCTCAACCACCGCTTTACCTCTCGATTCCACCACCAATCCACTCGTATCTAGCCATATTTAACTTTATAACATCAATAAACGCTAAAGAAACCAAGTCCAATGCAAAATTATAGATTCCCAAACATTTCCCCCAAAAAGTCAAAATCGACCCCAGGCCCCCTTGGTCAAAACTCGAAATTCGGACCAAAACCCGATTACCCATTCACCCCTGAGCCCGGATATACAATTGGTTTTGAAATTCGACCTCAAATTGAGGTCCAAATCCCCAAATTTCGAAATTCCTAAATTCTACCCAAAACACCCAATTTCCCCATGAAAAACCCTAGATTTTGTGATGAAATCTTATAAAAAGATGAAATAGATTGAAGGAAATGAGTTAGAAATCGTTTACCTATGATTTGGGGAAGAACTACTCTTTAGAAAATCGCCTCTTGAAGCTTAGGGTTTGAAAATTTGAGAAATGAGTTGAAAATCCCGTCTAAGTTATGTTTTGAACAGTTGCAGGTATCGCATTTGCGATCACAAGTTCGCAAATGCGAAGCTTGGCCTGGCCTGCTATCTTCGCAATTGCGAACAATTGTTCGCAAATGCGGCCACTGTTCAAGTCGCAATTGCGACAATGAACTTCGTAAATGCGAAGGTCCCCTTCCCAGCTTGCGAAGAAACTTCGCAAATGCGATGTTCGCATTTGCGAGCCAGACTTTGCAAATGCGAAGTCTGCAGATCTGCAACATACCAGAAATTTTCTTAAGGCTCTAAACACTCCGTAGCCTATCCAAAACTCACCCGAGCCCTCGGGGCTCCAAACCAAACATGCACACAAGTCTTAAAACATCATACGAACTTGCTCGCGCGATCAAATCGCCAAAATAACACTTCCGTTTTCTACCGAAATTCACAGATAAAGTTTAAATATTACAACGGACCTGTACCTGTCTCCGGAACCAAAATACGGGCCCGATACTAACAATATCAAACATTAATCATATTTCCAAAAACCATTACATTTTCAGTTAACAATTTTCTTCAAAAATTCATTTCTCGGGCTAGGGACCTCAGAATTCAATTTCGAGCATATGCCCAAGTCCCATATTTTACTATGGATCCTTCGGGACCGTCGGAACACGTGTCCGGGTCCGTTTATCCAAAATATTGACCGAAGTCAACTAAAATTATCTTTTTAAGCCAAAAATTATCTTTTCTTAAATCTTTCACATAAAAGCTTTCCGGATACGTGCTGAGACTGCGCGCGCAAATCAAGGAGAAATAAATAGGGGTTTTTAAGGCCTCGAAACGCGGAATCAAATTCTAAAACAAAAGATGACCCTTTGGGTCATCACAATAATTTCAAATTCTAAATACCTTTTTTCAACTTAACTCCAAATACCCGTTTTTCTTCTCCAAAAATTACAATTTTTATGTCTAAAAGTCTACTTAAAAGTCATGATCTAAAGCAAGACATTGTGTGACAGTAGATCGTTTTGTAAAACAGAAAGTTTAAAGTTAAATTATTTATAAATAAAAAATATTACTTTTTCCGTTTCAATTTATATGAGGTAGTTTAATTCGACACAAAATTTAAGAAAAAAAGGAAGACTTTTGAAATTTGTGATCTTAAAAACTTAAAGGATAAAAGCTTTGTGGGGCCGTGATATTTATGTGGTTATAAAAGCTTCTCACTAAGGGTAAAATAAAGAGTTTAAAGTTAAATTATTTCAATTGTAGAAATATATTATTTTTTTTAACAAACTAATAAGGAAAATATGCCATCTAAATTGAAACAGAGAGACTACATTCTTCTTTGAGAAATACTAAAGAAGATATATAACATAATTTTGGTAGGAGGTAACTTTTTTGAAGTGATTCTTTTTGAACTTTCAATTATTAGAGATATATACACTTTAGACATCATAATACATGCTTAACAGTGTAAAATCTGATTTATATAATATGGTGTAGCAATATATATATAAAAATCATTAAAATGATTCCCAAGATTCCTATTTTGGATCACATGGGAATAGTAGTAAGTACAGAAATTAATAGGATTATTGAAAAGGGCGGGCAGGGTCAGAGTCTTTTTTGGCAGCTATGAAGTGGGCTGATTTGTCACAACTTGAGTAGTTAATTATTCACTATTCTCCATCTTTTTCTTGCATATAAATACTGCATATATCAGCAATCATTCGCATAACAAACCAAACAGCTTCAAGCAAAATTAAAAGGCACAGCTTCTCCTTCTTTTCTTCTCTCATTCAACTAAATTGGGGTACTCGATCTATCATTCATTTACTAAACTGGCATTTTGTTCTTCTCAGCGATAGCATTGTTTAATTACTCCTTTTAGTTTTATTTGAAATTTTTCTCAGAAATGAATATTAAGTACACTATATATATATATATATATTTATACACAATCTTAACTTTAAATTTTAAATTTTAAATTTTATCTTTAATAACATGCTTTTGTAGTTACAGAAATATCATAACAGGTTAAGATCATTAATCTCAAAAGTCTTTGTATAGTGAGTTAAAAAATCCACTTAGTTTGAAACGAATGCGGTATAGTGCTGAACTCCGATTGTCCGATTTATCTGCTTGACAATCAATTGCGCCATCACAGTTTCACTTTAAGTTTCTGCTGCTTTAGTTTGTACATATATATATATATAAGATTAATGGTAAAGAAGGTTTTCATTTTAAGAATAAATATAAATTTTGACATTGTTTTAATTTGTGTTGAATAATTTCGTTACTGATGTATTTATACTATTTCAGGAAAGACGACTTAATTTGTGTAGAAGAAATTAAATCAAGAAATGGCAAAGAAAGCATCAATCAATATGGAAATAGGGAACGATGGCGTGGCTGTTATTACTGTCCATAATCCACCTGTCAATGCCTTAACTCTCTCAGGTTCCTTAGCTTTCTTCTTCTTCTTCTTCTTCTTTTCTTATTGATTTGAATTATAATTTCACATTCCGTAATCTTTACAATCTCCAACTTAACAAAAAACTCTCTTTTTCTTTTTATAAATTTAACTCTATATTATCCCAACTTCCTAAAGTAAAAATCTACTCCATTTTCTACCCACGTTGTTGAGTTCCTTCTCCGAGTGGCCCACTCTTTGAAAGTACTTCCAATTATAGAAAGTGTTATTAATACTCTTTATTGTCAATAATAGCAATTGAGGAGTTGAAGAGATGCTATCAAGAGGCAATAGATAGCGACACCGTAAAGGCGATTGTTCTTTCTGGTAAGTTTTGTTCCAATTACTCTTCTGGGAATTACACATGTTAATCTATATAGTTTAATTGTAAAAGTGACAAGTCTTAATTTGGACATAGATTTGATTGAAAACTGAAAAAAGTATTTTTTTGAAGTTGTGTTGAAAAATAGGTTTTGGAAGTTGAAGTTGTGTTTTCACATTCATTTCACTTCAAAAAATAAAGTTGAAATTTTGTGGGTGGAAGAAAATCTTCATCCAAAAACTGGCCCAAACTAGTTTTTGAAACTTGAAAATATTTCTTTAAATTTTTTTAAAAAACTGATTAAATTCCATGAACAAGGAATGTTTTCAATTTTTTTTTTTTTTTGAAAATAAGTAAGAAAAAATCTTTGTCCAAACGGGAGCTTAAACTACTTTTCCAACTAGAGTAACAATTGAACGGGTCAAAATGGGGTCAGACCAATAAACATGTCATGATCCATTCGAAGTTTGATTGGATCAAAATGAGTTTGATTAACATGATCCAACCTCCTCTTTTATATGTTTGGATTTGAGTTTGAATTTTGACCCACCAGGTTACCCAGTTTTGAAGCCGTCTTTTTACCTAATAATTGGATGGAAAAAAAAAATCAACTTTTAACAAATGGGTGATGATCCAACCTGTTTAAACTTGGGTAGATTTGACAGGTTATTAAAAAACAATCTCTGTCACACAATAGTCAAAGTGGTCCTTTAGGGAGTTCAATTAAAGAAAGGAAGAGTTTAATATAGTGAACTTTAACTATTGGAGTCATATTTTTACATATAAAGAGGAAAAGCACAGTTTATATCCTTGTTATAATCTCGGACTCTGAGTATCTATAAATATCCTAAAAAATATGATTATGTAGTCTGATTTAATATTGGCAAATTGTTTAAAGAGTTCATGTCAATAACCAAAAGGGTTAAACCAATTAGTATAAAGGAGCAAGAGATGTATGTACTGCTAATGTTGCCTGTTTTCCTAAAATGGCTCTGTGGGCAATCCGATTCATAAAGCATCCCGCATTCACGCAGAGTCCGGAGAAGGACCGCGCCCCTAGGGGTGTGATGTAGACATCCTACCCTAATGCAAGCATTAGTGGCTTCTTTCACGGCTCGAACCCGTGACTTATAGGTCACATCAAGACAACTTTACAGTTGCTCTAAGGCTCCCCTTCCTTAAAATGGCTTTGTGCTTGACTAAATTTTAAATTGAAATATTTGTTGTGACGTCGTCCTTTTATGCTGATAGGTGCTGATGGTAGATTTTGTGGTGGTTTGGACATCAGTGTTGTGGAGAATGTTCATAAGCATGGTAATTTTTTGCTTTTTCAGTTATCGCTTATTCCTGATCAGTTAATGTCCCCTTGTTATCTAACCAGATTTTTCCTTCAAAATCTCCAGGAGATATATCACTTCTACCTGATGCATCAATTGGACTCGTGGTTAACAAAATGGAAAGTATGTCTATAACATCTTATGTTCTTTGCCAAGAATTTCTTTATAAGTTCTAAAGTAGTTTGCGGTTGATATGTAGTTTGATTATCTAATCACAACTTTGTCTGGTGGTCATATATAGATGGGAAGAAGCCTTCTGTTGCTGCAATTCAAGGATTTGCCCTTGGTGGTGGCTTGGAGTTGGCTATGGTTTGTTCTCTCTGCTCAAGTTTTTTCATTTGATTTCCTTATTTCTCTGGATGTAGTTCTGTCTATTAATTGATTTTCTCAATTTAAATTATGTAGGGGTGCAGTGCTCGAATTGCCACAGCAAAAGCTGATCTTGGTTTACCTGAGCTGAAACTTGGAGTTATTCCTGGATGTGGAGGTACACTTCTTAATGTTTAAATTTGGCGCCTTTTCATTTTAAGAAACTTTCTGCTGAAAAATTTGAATGTGTGTTTTTAGGCACCCAGAGGCTTCCAAGATTAGTCGGGACCTCAAAGGCTGTTGATATGTTGATGGTAAGTGTCATACTTTAAATATACACTGTTAAGTTAGTCTCTCTAAATGTTAGATGGTAGCTTAAAGAGGCTGAACCTTTGTCTAAATATTGGACAGTCATCCAAGACCATAACATCTGAAGAGGGAAAGGAGTTGGGTCTTATTGATGCCATTGTCTCTTCCGAGGAGCTCTTGGCAGTTGCTCGGTGCTGGGCACTCGACATCGTTGAAGGGCGCCAACCACATTGCAATTCTCTTGAAAAGACAGATAAACTTGGACCTAAGGATGAATCGCTTGAGATACTGAAAAGTGCTAGACAACGGTACAGAGCGCCTCATTACAGTGCCTGTCTTGATGTGATTGAAGAAGGCATCATATCTGGAGGATTTTCTGGTGTTCTTAAGGTAAACTATCCTATTACACAAAACTGCATTTACATAGTTTGCTTTTGTGATGTGTTACTAGAGATTGATAATTTCAATGATGTGCTCCCAAAATCTTTGTTTGGTTTCTGCTTATAATCTATGCGCGACTGATTGTAGGAGGATAAAGTATTTAAGGAGCTGGTGCTGTCAAATACTGCAAAAGGTCTTCTTCACTTATTTCTCGCTGAACGTGCAACATCAAAGGTCAGATATTAGGCCATAGATTCTCTTTCTTTCATTGTTTAATTAAGAAGGTACAAAAAACTGGAACTGTTTCTATACCTGGATTTTATTTGGTACATTTTATGCATGAAAAAGCATTTATAGATTTCTTCATGCCTGGTAGAGTTCTGTACTAGCGGTCATGCTTAATAATCGCACTGTTTAAGAGAATCTTGGCATCTTATGTATTTTTAGGCCAACTTTGAGGGCTTAAACATAGTCTAACAATGCTGTAATACAATTTACAGGTACCAGGTGTTACTGATATTGGGCTTAAGCCGCGGATAATAGAAAAAGTTGCCGTTGTTGGTGGCGGGTTAATGGGATCTGGCATTGCTACAGCTCTCATTATGAGCAACATGAATGTTGTACTTAAAGAAATTAACCATGAATATCTATTGAAAGCAGTGAAATCAGTAGAAGGTTAGTACAACTTGTTGAATCTGTAGTAAAGATAGTAGTAGGACAGAAAAGCAATATTTGGATGTCATCTGATATATTGTTTATGCTATTTGTGTTCCAGCAAATCTACAAGGCCTAGTAACAAGAGGACAGCTGAATCAGGATAAGATGAAAAGGACTTTGTCTCTTCTTAAAGGCACTTTAGACTATGAGGATCTAAAAGATGTTGACATGGTCATTGAGGTAATCCTTTGACCACTTCTTCCCTTCTTCCTCTTAGTTTTCATGCTATTCTCTTGCCTTGTTTTTCCATACAATTTATGTCTAAGAAAGCTTAGTAACATCCTTTGTCCAAGGTTTTTCCATACTTCAACTCTGATGTCGTTAAATCCCTGACTTTCATTATTTTAGAACATCCTTGTAGATCATGCATATTATACATATTTCCATTATTTTCTGATGAAATTTACGCCTCTCTGTCTTCAGGCTGTTAATGAGGTAGTGTCGCTGAAACAATCAATATTTGAAGATATTGAAAAAGTTTGTTCTTCAGACTGCATTTTTGCATCAAACACATCCACAATTAGTCTTGATGTTATTGGGGAAAGAACAAGTAGTCAAGATCGCATTTTGGGGATACATTTATTCAGGTGAGATTCAATTCTGTACCAGACTTTTGCCCGAATGTTTACACCATGCCTTTATTCAGGGGATACATTTATTCAGATACATTTATAATGTTTCTTCTCACTCGAGCGAGGCAAAGATAGTTTTGATGGTTTTGAGAGTATATTATATTACTGTTTCCTGACTTATTGTATTCCTTAATTCTAATTTTCTGGTTTTCATATTTCTTTCTTTTTCTGGGCGAAGTCCTGCTCATGTGATGACTCTGGTGGAAATCGTGAGGACCGAAAATACTTCTCCACAAGTAATTGTTGATGTTATAAGATTCACCAAGATTATGAAAAAAGTCCCCATCGTAGTGAAGAATTGTACTGGTTTTGCTGTCAACCGTAGCTTCTTCCCTTATATGCAAGGACCAGACCTGTTGGCAAATTTAGGTGTTGATATCTTCAGAATTGACCGCGTGATCACTGAGTTTGGCATGCGGCTTGGCCCTTTCCAGTAAGTTCTTTATCTAGAGTGAAACTTGTTCATCTCAGCATGTGAAGATATGAACATACACAGTAATCACTGCACAAACACTTGTGTGCGCTGTTGAGCGAATACATTCTTGCGTTCGATTTTTATCAATAACTTGCGTTCAATTTCTATCACTGGGTCTGTGCCTCAACTAGAATTCATTAGTGGCATGTTTTATGCTTGCACAAACACTTTAACTGTTCGTCCACATTTGCTTTTATTTACACCAAAATCATTTCTGCATATTTAAACCAAGTTGGTATATTATGATATGCAGGCTTCAGGATCTTAGTGGCTATGGTATATTTTTGGCTGGTGTAAAAGAGTTTGTTGCTGCTTTTCCAGACCGCGCTTTTCAGTCACCCTTGGTTCAACTGATGGTAGAAGATGGGCGGGAAGGTACTGAAGACACTTGTATTTTCCACTTTTAACTTTTGGCCTGAAAATAATTTTTTTTTAAAAGGAAACAAAATGTAAAAAGAAGTTAAATGATCTTTACAAGAAGAATAACAGTAGTAAAGTTGCAACAGTCTGCTACTCAGTTCAATTTCCAAGATTTGTCACTCAAAAATGGTGTGGTTTTCTAAGTGAATATATACTTGCATCATAGGAAAGAAGAATGGAAAAGGATATTACACATACAAAAAGGGAAGCAAGCCAGAAGCTGATCACTCTGTGATTCAAGTTGTTGAGGAGTCTATGCGATTTACTAATATTGCTCCTGGTGGAAAGGTTTGTTGCAGTTGAATCCTTCTTTTAATCTGAATTCTTCTTTGTTAAAACTAAAGCAAGCATTCTCGTCTAACTACAGCCAATGCTATATTATATTGTGCATGTTTGATTGATATAAGGCGTGATTTTGTTGGCAGCCAATATCTGTGACCGATGAAGAAATTCTTGAAATGATATTCTTTCCTGTGGTGAATGAGGCTTGTCGAGTTATTGAGGAAGGAATAGTTGTCCGAGCATCTGATATTGATATTGCATCTGTCCATGGGTTTAAATTTCCTTCAGAAACGTAAGTAGCAACAGTTTCTTCAATTGCTATTGCCTATCTCTGAACTCGAATTCATTACTTGTAAGATATGCTAATAATCACTATGTTTTTCTGCAGTGGAGGTGTCATGTTTTGGGCTGATACAATTGGATCTGAATACATATACTCAAAGCTAAAAACTTGGCATGAGGCCTATGGTGATTTCTATAAGCCATCAACATTTTTGGAGCAGAGAGCTGCAAAAGGTTTGCCCTTGGTAAGGACTAACCAATTCTTAACTCTTTCTTTATCCTTGGATCTCATTTGTTAAGTGCATTTTGTTGACCTTCTTTCGTTCTTCATGATGCAATCGTAGGGAGGATCGTCTTGACCAGCATATCATATGATCATATCCATGCAGAAAAAGCAGTAATGCAAGCATGCTGAATTTGGGCTCTGAAATAAGGCGGGAAAGTTTGTTAATTACAATTAGTTAGAAGTTCCATTAATTATAATAAGTTAGTCTTTAAATTTCCTATTTTTTCCCCTCAAGCTATTTGATGGTAGTTGTAACTTTGGCTCTACAAACCAGTGTAATCATCTGAGAAAGAGTGAATGAAATGTCCAAAAGCTTCACAAAGTTCCTTTTTCTTCTTTTCTCTTTGTGTTCGAAGTATTCCCTTTTAATTTTGGTTGTATTTTTCTTAAGGTTTATATTGTGAATTTGTTGATTCACAACATTTATTATCAATGAGTCGTTCAACTGAAGCTAGTATCGCTCTATAGCGGCAGAAAATGTGAAACTGAAGATGATGGATGATAAGAGAGAGTTGAGGGAAAAGGAAAACATTGAAGAAAATTTTCTACATGCATTAGTTAATATAGAAAGGCAGAATAGCCTAAATGGCACTTATATTTGTGCCACTTTGTCATACCGGTACCAAAATTATCAATTTGTCAATGGAACGCTTACACTCCTTCAAACCATGTATAATATACGCTTATGACAGGAGGCTGATCATATGTGTCATATTTGGCTTCAGTGCATGATTCACACGCTTGTAAGGGGTGTGAGGGCAGTTGAAAAAGCACTAACAGTAATAATATGGCCTATTTAACAGCCATCTTCTTCTTTCTACCTTATTCTCCATTGTTGAACATTATAGAAGCTGATTTCTATCCAAATCTGATGCCTTCTTCTTTCTCGCGTTAGCTTCAACATTGAAAAATAGAATTTCTTTGCTGGGATTCTTCATTGCCCATCAATTTTTGCCATCTCCTTTTCTTTTGAAGGTCGATTTTTTTCTTCTTCTCCGGCAAGAAATAAGTTATTGTCGTGTCTTCTCCTTCAGTAATGAAGAAGGAACCTTTGTGTTATTGTGGAATTGCTGCAGATCTTAAAATGTCACGAACATTCACCAATCCTGGAAGAAGGTTCCTAGGCTGCCCAAGATATGAGATTGGTGAAGGTTGTGGCTTTTTCCGATAGGTTGATCCTGCGATTGAGGAAGAATACTACAAGACTCTTCTTGCGAGTCTTATTAAGAAAAGTGATCGTGGCATTGTCAGAGAAGACAAGGAAGGTTGAAGTTCAGAGTTGCTGCTATTATAATTGTGGTTGTAGTTGCTCTAATGTTAGCTCTTATGTTATGTGTTTAGGATTGATAACGTACTTTTTTATTTTCTGGATTTAGGCTACATATTTTGTGTTGATGTAAAATTTTGTTCCTGGAATATATTGACAAAGGGGAAGTCGAAAAATTACAAATTACCATTACAGCAACAATACTTCCACTACTAATATCATGGCTTGTTATAGGTAGTTAATAAAATATCAAGAAGGTTGCTTTACAAAATATTGTCTACGATAGGCAGTCAACAAAACATCCATAATGAAGTAGCTTTACAAAATACTATCTACCATAGACAGTTAACAAAAACATCCATCATTAAGTCTTCAAAATATCAGTTGATCACTTCAATTAATGTTTGTTGTGGCTTGGTTGCTCGGTGTGGATTGTGTCTTTGGTGTGGCTTGAGTGGTTGTAGCAGAGTTTGCCCTTTAATAACTCTGTTCTTGCAGCTGCCTTTGTGTAACTGCAACTCGACCTTCCACTTTAGTCCAAGGGGTTTGAACCTAAGTTCAATATTGGTAGGGGCCGAACTTATGAGTGTAGAAGGATTGTGTACTACTCTGTCAGTAGTTCCAGAATGCACAAAGATAAAAGGTTGTGAGTGAGGGATTATCTAGAAAACCATATCTGTTGACTGTGTGATTAAGTGAAAATATTTATCCTCTGTATCACAGTGCCACTTGAATAAAAGAGCAGACCATATCCTGCTGCCTTTAATCTCTTAAACTCTGCATTTGCACTACTTCTTCTAGGCTCATTGATCTTCCTTTTTGGACCTCCAGCAACATTAGTTGATTATTGTGTGGTTTAATCAGTGATTGGTTAAGTGAAGGTGCCACTTTCCATAGTTGAAGTTGTTGTTGCACTTCCAGCTATTGCTGCCGATGCACTTCCAGCGCTCCAGCCCTTCCACCTACTGCTGTTGATGAAGCATTTTCAACAGTTTCACCTCCAACTGAACTAGTTATAGCCCTTCCCCCTTGGTTTCTCTGCATACACATAACAAAACAGACATTAATAATTGAATTCATCTGATAATAAGCACAAAGAATATTAATACTTACTGTTGATGGACATCCTTTCTTGTTATGTCCAAGAGTCTTGCACAAAGAACAGATGAAGAAACTTATCCCAGAAACTTCGATAACAACTGCGATGATGAAAATCCCCGCAATGATGACGGAGAAGAGAGGAGAGACAGAAGTGGTTCGATAATTTCTAAGCCCTTAACTAAGCGGGTAAGTGTAAAATGAGGGGAAAATTTGGGTTTGGGGGGTTAATAATCATTCTCCCATTTAATTTTCCTATGTGGCGATAATAAATGACCTGGAGCCTACGTGGGTTAATTTTCTTGACGTGGCGTCCTACGTATAGGAGATCGTATTACATGCACTGGCAGCCTCCTGTCATAAGCGTTTATTATACACGGTTTGAAGGAGTATAAGTGTTCAATTGGCAAATTAATAAGTTTGGGTACCGGCATGATGAAGTGGCACAAGTATAGGTGCCATTTAGACCATTCTGCCATATAGAAATAAAAAGATATGAGCAAGAGTGTTTAAATTGAGTTGAGGTTTCCATTTTATAGAAGGATCAAGTGATAAAAGAACAATTTGGTTCGTAGACACCTCTTTTCCTCAAATTCACCACTATTCTGGCGTATATTATTCTTCCGTCCAACTTCGGCCAAAAATCAAACTCCTCCTCCTCCCATCCAAGTGACATTTCAGTGACAAACATACTTGTCGTAATATGAGAAATGGAAGACGAAGATTAACAATACTAATAGCATTCTTTATTAGTTATCCCTCAAAATAATTATAGGAACATGTTGATTAAAGCACTGGTATATTATACTTTAAGAAATTTGTCGAACCAGTCACTCGCGTCTTTTACCATCAATGGCATCATTTGATGCCCAATTCCAGGCTGCGCTATCAGCTAAAATTTTTTAAAACAAGCATTTCAGAACCAAAGAAGATTGATCACTCAGAAAAAAAAAAAAGTATTTGTAGGCATATAAAATTTACTGGAATTAATTTTAAATTCAATATATATTAGTTCAAATAAATTTATTGGGCTAATATAATTAGATTAATTATATAAGTCCAAATGCATATGGGTTAAATAAATGAGTCCGAATCCATTGGGCTAGCCCATTTAATTGGGCTACAAGTGATGAGCCCAGCCCAAGATGGCATCTTCCTAGAGGCCCAGTGCTACGTGTCAAATGACGTGGCACGCCAAGTCAAACGAAAGAGCCAATAGGATCGTGCCACGTGTCAAAATGACAAGTCACATTAAAAGGCCAATGAAATCGCGCCACGTGTGCAAGTGACATGTTCTGGCCAATTAAATGCGGCCTTGTCACACTTCGATTTGATTGGTTGGAAATAGTTTGTTCTTATCATAACTCTTTCTTCCAACAACTATAAATAGGGGTCTTCATAACTCAGAAAAAGCAAGAGAGAGCTCGTGGATCAAACGCTGCAGATTTCTCTAAAAACATCAAGCATTCAAGTGTTCTAAGGATTAAAAAGATCAAGACGAAGATTCAAGAACAAGCTGCAAGCCCTTGGATTAAAAAGACGTCAGGATCAAGATCAGACCAAAAGCACTTGGATTAAAGTAAATAAAATTCAAGATTAAGCTCAAAAGCTCTTTTATTTACTGTTGAAAAGTAGAATCAGAGGATTCATAGAGATTGTAACACTTAAATATTTGCAAAATACTACGATTGTTGCAATATTTTTCGGTCTTGATTTTATTTTCTCGACTCAATTTATTGTTTACAATTTCTGGCACGCCCAGTGGGACAATCTCTGCCTCTCATCTCAACTTTTCAATCACCAAAGTGCAAGAACAACGAAATGGCTTCAACGAAAATCAACTCCAAATAAACTTCCACCAAGGCTGCTAATTCCAGGTTCTATGTTGATGTGGAAAGCATCCTCGATGTTACCTTTGGAAGCTTTGGACCAGTTACGAGGAGCAAAGCAAGCTCGTTAGGACAACAAGCACCCCAAGTGCCGTCCGCATCAACCCCTGTTTTCGGATCTTCATCCTCAAAAGGAGCAAGATCTGCCACAAACGCACCTGAAGGAGGAAGCGATGTTGCTGAAAAGATTAAGAAAACTCTTGCTATGCTTGACCTCTCCGGATCCAAGAACTCTGCTATGAAGGGAGATGATGATGATGCTTCAAGTGATGGATCCTCTCCACTTACACCGCATAGCGTGAGCCATTCGAGAATTAATATGTGTGACAATCCATGCTACTCCCCATCATCTACAACAATCATGCAAGCCATGGTGACAAACACCTCATCTATAGAAGAGCAGTTGGCAAACTTGACGGAAGCAATCGCTGGCTTGACCAAATGCATGCAAAATCAAGATGCTAGAATTGACAAGCTAATAGACAGGGTGGGAATCTTGATGGAAGAAGAATCCACCGATGCACCTGGCAAACTCCTAGAAGTTTAAGAGATTAATCCTCCCATACGATAAGTTGCATCCACTAAGGAAATTCCAGTCTCTTCGGAAGGGATATTTCCAATCAATCAAGTAAAGGAGTTCATTGAAGGGACTATAAAAAACAAATATGAAGTTGCTTCCAAGTCCTCCTTTACCTACGCAAAGCCGTACACTTCAAGGATCGATATGTTGATGATGCCTGATGGCTATCAACCTCCAAAATTTCAACAGTTTGATGGAAAAGGCAATCCAAAGCAATATGTGGCGCACTTCGTTGAGACATGCAACAATGCTGGGACTTATGGAGATTACCTCGTCAAGCAGTTTGTCCGCTCATTAGAAGGAAATGCTTTTCATTGGTACACAGACCTCGAAGCTGGATCTGTTGATAGCTGGGATCAACTAGAGCAAGAATTTCTCAACCGCTTTTATAGCATGAGACGTACTGTGAGTATGATAGAACTTACAAATACTCATCAATGAAAGGGTGAACCAGTTATCGACTTTATCAATCGTTGGAGGAATGCAAGCCTCAACTACAAAAACAGG